AAATGGAACAGTTTTATTTGCAAACTTGCTTGATTTGCCTGAATATAATAAAGAGAGGTATTCAAGTGACAGGTACTGAAGGGCAGATATGTAATATATCTTCCTACACAATGGCTACCTAGGGGGAAAAAAAGATCAATTTCCCTCATGTATGGCCAGACATAAACCATCTCCAAACATTTAACATCACCATTTAAGAAATCGCCAATATGAAGCGGTCACATCACAAATCCGGCAATGTAAGCCTTTCTGCTCCCAGTATCCCACTCTCCACAATAGCAGAAATGAAAGCTTTTCCAAGCTGGTCTAATGCTGGCTCTCTCACACAGCTACTCAATCTCAGCAGAAATGATCCTTTAATCCTAGCGGTGGATTATTCAAACTATCTAATGTCGGCCAAGCACAAAACAAATAAAATATTGCTTTATTTAAACAAATTGAGTTAAAAAGTAATTATATTTTGTACATATAAAATAGTAAAAAGGACTTCTCCGCATGAAAATAAAAATATAAAAATGTTTACTAAAGAGAAGGGACTGTGTTTACAGAGGACGAGCGGCGCTGGAAAATATTACCGTTCTTAATCTCGTGTTTAATGAAACCGTTTTTTGTTTTTTTTTAGATTGAAGGCCTGGATTTTATCCGGTGGAAATTACAGTCACTAATTAAAAACCTAGTGAACACAGATTTACTCTCCATGGGAATAAGCTGTGTTACATTAGGTTAAATCATGTTAACCATTCGGCTCTTTGCTGCTATATGAACCAAGTAGTTGCACACACTTATCTTGCTCAATCTGGTGGACAATCTTAAGATGGCCATACACTGTTATATTTTTTTGCGTTCAGCCTGCTGGCTGGATGAAAAAAAATATAACAGATTCCAAATTATTAATAAGCTTCTGGCGCTAGCCAGACCAATCCAGAATCCATCAAGCAAAGATTAGAATAAATAATTCGGCATTCACTCGGGACAGTGAGACGGGTTGTATGGTCGGTATAAACTGAGCCTGTTGGCTGTAATAAGCAGGTCCTTTGATGTTCCAGTTTTGGGTGAAGTCACTTAAACCCAACATTGTCCCATCTCCCACTCTGACTGCCTCTAGGCGATCCCTTAAGACTCATCTCTTCAGGGAAACCTACCCCACCTCAACCTAACCACTGAACCATCACGTTCTCAAACAATTCATCCCCACACCGCTACCTCCTCATGTATCACTGGCCCCTCCCTTTTAGATTGTAAGCCCTCACGGCAGAGCCCTCCTTACCATCTTGTCTGGAATTGTATTGGGACTGTAATGTCTTCCTTATATTGTAAAGCGCCGTGCAAACTGTTGGCGCTAAATAAATACTGTATAAGGCCCCGTTCACACTGAGCGATTTTTGCAGCGATATCGCTCTATGTAGCTTCTCCAATCCATTTCAATGGAGCTGTTCACATCTCGACGCTCAATATCGCTTGTAGCTCGTCGCTGGTAGCTTGTCGCTCCTACATGACCCTTTTTTCAAACGATTTCGAGCGATATTGCTCCTGATTGCATACAGCCCAATAGGAAAAAGTCGCTCAATATCGCTCATCGCGCAATATCGCTCAAAATCGCGCGATTTTCATGTAATAACAACAACAACAACAACATTAGGTCATGTGACCCACAGAAACCCTGCACTGTGGATGCCAACATTTGCAGTGTGTTTTTACTTCAAGTGAAGTAGTGGCTGGTAGAAGTGCCCCTGTGAGCTGCAACTACAGCTTTAAACTTGGAACCAGATCCCTGCTAGATCACCCTTTTACTACTATTATTATTATTACTATTAGGACTACTACTACTACTACTACTACTACTACTACTACTACTACTACTACTACTACTACTACTACTACTACTACTACTACAGGTAGGTTTCTGCAGACTTTTATATCTCTACTCATGTGCTCCTAAGGTCAGCTTAAAGTGGACCTAGCATAAGATATTAAAGTGACCCTAAACTCAGGAGTTAAACCACTCCAAGCTTGCCCCTGTGATGGACTACGATCTCAATACAAATTAGTAAACTATAATCTGCATACCGACAGCCCCACGGCTTGAAGAAAAAAAAAATGAACTGTCAGCATCCGGACCAAAAACGCGTCAAAAACGCACTGCATGAGTAGCACCACGTCTGCAGATCCGCACCTGATCCGGACCTGAAAATCATGTGAACAGGCCCTCAATGAATCCCAGGGACAGCCCAATGTCTACACATGCCTACACCATATATATAAAAATACAGAAGTATATTTAAACAGAGCCCTTAATGATCCCAGTACATCAGAGGTTCCTAAGAAAAGGCAAATAAATGGAACAGTTTTATTTGCAAACTTGCTTGATTTGCCTGAATATAATAAAGAGAGGTATTCAAGTGACAGGTACTGAAGGGCAGATATGTAATATATCTTCCTACACAATGGCTACCTAGGGGGAAAAAAAGATCAATTTCCCTCATGTATGGCCAGACATAAACCATCTCCAAACATTTAACATCACCATTTAAGAAATCGCCAATATGAAGCGGTCACATCACAAATCCGGCAATGTAAGCCTTTCTGCTCCCAGTATCCCACTCTCCACAATAGCAGAAATGAAAGCTTTTCCAAGCTGGTCTAATGCTGGCTCTCTCACACAGCTACTCAATCTCAGCAGAAATGATCCTTTAATCCTAGCGGTGGATTATTCAAACTATCTAATGTCGGCCAAGCACAAAACAAATAAAATATTGCTTTATTTAAACAAATTGAGTTAAAAAGTAATTATATTTTGTACATATAAAATAGTAAAAAGGACTTCTCCGCATGAAAATAAAAATATAAAAATGTTTACTAAAGAGAAGGGACTGTGTTTACAGAGGACGAGCGGCGCTGGAAAATATTACCGTTCTTAATCTCGTGTTTAATGAAACCGTTTTTTGTTTTTTTTTAGATTGAAGGCCTGGATTTTATCCGGTGGAAATTACAGTCACTAATTAAAAACCTAGTGAACACAGATTTACTCTCCATGGGAATAAGCTGTGTTACATTAGGTTAAATCATGTTAACCATTCGGCTCTTTGCTGCTATATGAACCAAGTAGTTGCACACACTTATCTTGCTCAATCTGGTGGACAATCTTAAGATGGCCATACACTGTTATATTTTTTTGCGTTCAGCCTGCTGGCTGGATGAAAAAAAATATAACAGATTCCAAATTATTAATAAGCTTCTGGCGCTAGCCAGACCAATCCAGAATCCATCAAGCAAAGATTAGAATAAATAATTCGGCATTCACTCGGGACAGTGAGACGGGTTGTATGGTCGGTATAAACTGAGCCTGTTGGCTGTAATAAGCAGGTCCTTTGATGTTCCAGTTTTGGGTGAAGTCACTTAAACCCAACATTGTCCCATCTCCCACTCTGACTGCCTCTAGGCGATCCCTTAAGACTCATCTCTTCAGGGAAACCTACCCCACCTCAACCTAACCACTGAACCATCACGTTCTCAAACAATTCATCCCCACACCGCTACCTCCTCATGTATCACTGGCCCCTCCCTTTTAGATTGTAAGCCCTCACGGCAGAGCCCTCCTTACCATCTTGTCTGGAATTGTATTGGGACTGTAATGTCTTCCTTATATTGTAAAGCGCCGTGCAAACTGTTGGCGCTAAATAAATACTGTATAAGGCCCCGTTCACACTGAGCGATTTTTGCAGCGATATCGCTCTATGTAGCTTCTCCAATCCATTTCAATGGAGCTGTTCACATCTCGACGCTCAATATCGCTTGTAGCTCGTCGCTGGTAGCTTGTCGCTCCTACATGACCCTTTTTTCAAACGATTTCGAGCGATATTGCTCCTGATTGCATACAGCCCAATAGGAAAAAGTCGCTCAATATCGCTCATCGCGCAATATCGCTCAAAATCGCGCGATTTTCATGTAATAACAACAACAACAACAACATTAGGTCATGTGACCCACAGAAACCCTGCACTGTGGATGCCAACATTTGCAGTGTGTTTTTACTTCAAGTGAAGTAGTGGCTGGTAGAAGTGCCCCTGTGAGCTGCAACTACAGCTTTAAACTTGGAACCAGATCCCTGCTAGATCACCCTTTTACTACTATTATTATTATTACTATTAGGACTACTACTACTACTACTACTACTACTACTACTACTACTACTACTACTACTACTACTACTACTACTACTACTACTACTACTACAGGTAGGTTTCTGCAGACTTTTATATCTCTACTCATGTGCTCCTAAGGTCAGCTTAAAGTGGACCTAGCATAAGATATTAAAGTGACCCTAAACTCAGGAGTTAAACCACTCCAAGCTTGCCCCTGTGATGGACTACGATCTCAATACAAATTAGTAAACTAAACATGAGATTGTAGTCCTTCACGGGAGTGAGCTTGGAGCGGGTTAACTCCTGAGTTTAGTGTTTTCCTTGGAACACACACACAGACCAGAGATGATTTGGAGGACTTGCAGCCGAGTGATACACAAATAAGACACATTTTTAGTTAAGGTACTTTTTTAAGATTTATCTCCTGAGTTAGTGTCATACATTCAGAGAAGAAGAAGTTATGGGGAGCAGTGTAGCAGCCCAGTGGATGTAGGATCAGGTAAGTATATCTGCTTTATTTGACCCCCCTAGATAAAACAAACGCATAACTTTTGCAGGACAGGGGTAGCCCCACAATCATTTAGTCAGTAATGTCTCTTTGGCAGCATACTTGTTTCGGGTCAGTGACTGACTGAGTACTGAAGCAAGGACAAGGATGACAGGAACAGAGTCTGCAGCTTTAAAACTCAGTTGGCAATAGTCACTGTCATATGTCTAACCTGACAGGTTCCAACAAATAGTAAGTACAAAGAAAAAAAACACACATCAGAAAAACTAGTAAGCTGGACAATTATTCCGCTGAAAATGATTTACACTCCAGAATACAATAATCTTTGAATAAGTTGGTGGTGCACTCACCTTATGGCTTCCTCAGCATCCCTTTGTAGGTTTAGGCACCAGTAGTCACATAATCCACGCAAAAACTGTTCCAGCCGTCAGACCCAAAATATACAACAACTGTAAGGGCCGAACAAGGTATTCTTGGTCTGAAAAGATATAAAAGAAATGCATAGAATGAATGATCTGTGCATGGGTAAAAGAGAAGCAATGTCACAGAAGCTGCACAGTAACAATGTAGTCACAGTGAGTGAAACCTGTGTTATAGATTTGTTTATAACCAAAAAGTGTGTGGGCTACGGACTGCTGCAGGAAAAAAGCGCCAGACAGGAAGTGACGTCATGGTTTCCAAAAAGTGAATAAAAGCATGACATCATATTTGATACAGGAAACTCGTGCGTTAGAAACCGATCTGCCATAAAGGGACTGTAACATGCTACAAAGTTACTGAGCCATGAAGACTTCAGAAAGTCGCTACAGCAGTCTATGGCATCAGTCACAGGAGTAATGACATACATGCGATTATATGCACTTTTATTCATTTATTGGACTGCTCTAAACACATATCAATGCATGTAATGATTTTAAAATTGTATAATGCGTGCTCTGCGTTTACATGCGTAAGATACATTGTTTGTGTTTAATAATAGAAGTCTGTGTCCATGGGCAGATAAGATACTCTGAACGCATCTCAACATGTGTAAATACGCGATCAGCGCATTCTGATAAATACAAGGGAGCTTGGAGGGAAAAGTCTGTATGGAACACCTAAACCCATGACCCTGATTTGTATGTAAACATGAACACTGTACATACAAAACACTAAAAACTTTCCTGATTGAATTTCTCCTGTGATTGAAAAGAACAAATGCAGGTGGTCTGTGTGAATGAGGCCGATCACACCTTCCATGCGCTGAAATCCACCATCATCAACTGCAATCAGTTGGTTGGTCTTTGTAGGAATTGAAGAGGTTATCGGAGTTTACTGTCTTTGTCTATGTCTTTACTGGTAGAGCAAGTAGGGGAGCATTTTCTATTGCCATCACTAGAAGAAAAGAAAAAAACTACCCGACCTGTTGAGGGCTTGTAGAATGCAACTGGCTATAGTGATTTTAAATTTCCAGTACCAACATTCTATTTGCTGGAAGCCACTGAAAAGTAAATATGGCTGCAGCATTAATTCCAGCCAGGCACTGGGGGGCAGCAAGAAGCACCAAGGTTTTCTATGCTTGTACCCAACTTAATATGCTTTATGGGCCTAGTGCCCAGTTTGATGCCAACATATATGAGTTTATTGGCATCTCCTGGGTCCTAAGTGGGACTGACATGTCTTCCGATTTCGGCACTGATTTTCCAACACCAGCAAAACTCTGGGTGGCAAACTGGCTACTGGTTGGAGCTAATGGAGCCCCAACTTCCATTGCATTCTGACAAAAATAAAAATGAAATGCCGTGCAGCCCATCTTTGCATACTGCCTACTGGTTCTACTGACCAGAAAATGTGATGGGTGGCCCCACTCACCAATAAGAAAGGTGCAGGTAGAAGGGAGAGGCGGGTTACATGACAGCCATGAAAGCTTTGGGCGCTAAAGCCGACAGTCGGCTCTACAAGTTTAAACAGACTCCCGGCGGCAAAAGTCGCCGGGAGTCTGTTTAAACAGCCCCGATGCTGGCGACGTACACTGTACGTCGTCAGTCACGAAGGGGTTAATACTGCATGCCAAGATTTGGTGCTTCTGGAGACAATACATGCGCAAGTATCCAGACCTGCCTGCTATCCAGACCAGTAGGCAATTTAGCACCCTAAATACCAAAAGGGAAATATTAAGCATATATTTAAAAGGGTCTTGCTAACGCGTTTTGGGGTAACCAAACCCTTCCTCAGAGCAAGACCTTCTCTTGGTCTTGCTCTGAGGAAAGGTTTTCTTTACCCCGAAACATGTTAGCATGCACCCACCCCATACAGTGTTCTTGGACCATTGGACTAGTGAGTACCTTTTTACTCTTTTATTTCATCATTTGGTCAATAAACATAGTGCACAAGGAGGTAGCGCCTGCTCTGTGTTTTGTTGCATGTTGTCAAGATTCCAGTGACACCCTGGTTGAGAAGGCAGCCCGTGGTTCCTAGCATTGGCTGAGTGAGCACTATTGGTTTGAGCCTGCCTGTATCTTTCCTATTTTCCTGATTACAGGATTACAGGCAACCATATCTTGATGAATACAGGCTACTTGCAAAGTGCTTCAAGTCTCTGCAGTGCTGCATTTAGTAGCAAATTCTAATAAAAGTTGGATTAAACCCATTAAAATTGGGTGAATTATAAATCCATCTATCTATAGACCAAAGGCTTAGCAGCAGATGTAGCAACTGTCAAAGCAAAAAATGGCCATTCATAAAGAAATCTAACAGTCTGACAATGAACGATCAGAACCTTGAACGTATCTCCTTTCAATTATCATACACATTCACTATTCAGTTTATATCAGCCAATCTCCCCATCGCTGACTGTAAAGCAATGATGAATTGTGTCAGGTCTATTCCAATCATCCAGTCCATCATTCTGCTACCGAATCCAGTCTACCACGGTACACCAGTACGTTGGGAAAAATATCACTTAAGAGCTAAAAGCACTAAATGTTCTGTAATCTTTTCCAGTGTCCTGATATTAGTTATAGGTGCATTGGGGTGGGCTGAGTCAGCCCCTCGTAACTCCAACAGGGGAGGTCTCCCTGTGATAATTCCCAAATGTATCTAGCGGTTTGGGGTGTTGCCACCAAAGAATATGTTCCAAGTTTCTCCCATTGTTATTCCACAATATAAAAAGAAAAATGTGGGTTGAATCCATTTAAAAGGGAATCCAAGAGTAGAGATAGGGAGCTGCCACGATGGTCATCCTTTTCCTGATGTCATTACCTAGTCAGCAATAAGAGCACCCATATTTCTAGTCTCATCATAGATCACGGACAAGATTTTGGGTGGAGGGAAGAAGCCAAGCTAACAGAAGAAAGGGCTAACAGTAGAATTTTAGGTGTCATTTAAAAATGCAAGTACAAAGGAACTGATATACGCATATATAGAAGTACAAAGTTTGGGACTTTGCCAGTCAGACAAATGCTGTTGTTTAATAATACAATTTACTGGCCCTCCTTAAGCGTGTTACATGCTTTAGGTAAGCTCATCTTTCAAACAGTCTACTTGACAGTGACAGGTGTAGCCTCAAGATTTAAGCAGGGCGTCAATGTGCCCGTCAAGTCTCCATCAGTCATTGCATGACATCATTTTATGGTGCATGACATCATCTTTTAGGCTCCACCCTAGCAGCCTGCGGATACAATTAAAAAGCTGGCACAGCATGCAATCCTCACAATGGCTATAAAATGTGGGCAGAAAAGGCAAGCAGAAAGCTAGGGTGACGGCAAGACAGACCTAAAATTAACCGCAACAGTACAAGTACCAACGTGTCACCCAGCACTTAATATATGGTATTATCGGGACCGTTAATGAGCATGTTGCTGTGCAGACATTCCTGATGCCCCAAGCACATCTACTATATTAAACGCTTTACATCCTTGTAAAAATTAGACCGCCCGTAATCACTGAAACCCAAACACACCCAGATATTGGGTACAGCCCTACCTGTGTAATCCTAATTATGTTTCCTCTTTACAACTCTCAGGGGAGCAATTTATGGCATGAAAAGCAGGTTGCTCGTCTTAGCAAGGCTTAAACGTAAAGGATCAATGATATGGAATGTTAGTAACATAGCGTAATCTGTGTACAGGGATATACACACACATACACTACCCATGCTGTATATTATACATGCGTAACACACATGGTGAATAAACACAGCACTTCTCTGCAGTGAGTACTTGTCCTGCAGCGGATCCTCTTGCACAAAACACACAAGCGTGTCAAACACACATACACACACAGCTACAATCCCATTTGAGCACAAACATACAATCACCTGCTATCTGTAGCACCCATTTCACAGATCCGTCCTCTCCCTGGCCAGAGATATACAGTCTGGTGAATGAGAGCAGGAAGCCGAGCCGTGGGCTGCCTAGTAATACTACCATACTCGTCCACTGAATACTAAGTGGGATTACATCCCCCTCCCACATGCAGCTCCCATCACCATAGACAATACATGAACTGTCCATGACTTCAACATGTTACATCTGTGACTGCAGGCCATGCAGAAGGCACAGACTTGTTCTGCACAGTGATGTCATAACAAAGACTTGTTAAATGGATTTAAGGATCAGTCCTGCGTAGGTACATAGAGATCGAACGTAACAGGTTACATGAGTTAAAGAAAACCTATGCTGGGAGAAATGCAGCGGCTGTCATCACTGGCCTCTTCTTGAAAGTATTACAAGATAAAGGGTATTTTGGAGATTGGGGTTTTTTTTAGGCACTCAAGACAATGGTTTATATAAAAATTATAACTTTTTAGTCAATTAGATAATGTCAACCACATTGTAGGGGGTGCGACCTACAATTGAATTTGTTTGTACAAATCCATTAATATGTCTATGCAACTATAATTAGCCACAATTCAGGATTCTGGTGGAGCTTGTAGGTGTTCCTCTTGAGTTGCTTTTTTCTTTTATAATATGAGCTCCTCTTTTTAACCATGTATTTAATAAAAGTTATACATTTTTATATAATCCATTGTCTTGAGTGCCTAAAAAACCCCAATCTCCAAAATACCCTTTTTCTTGTAATACAAAACCAGGGGTGTGGCACCCTCCATTTAACACCGTTTCTACCCTTCCCCCCTTTCCCTATCTAAGCTCTTCTTGAAAGTCCCAACTTCCTGGCTGTCATGCTGATCCCACAGCCTCAATGTTTTGGAGTGCCAGTCCTGGACCAAGTATCCAAAAGAAGTAAATTCCCAACTCCTGATCTGCATGGTTGGTCCAGGACAGCAATTCTGCAAGTACCGAAGCCACTGAAGTCATTGGCTTGATAGTCAGAGAGACCTGATATTAAAGTGACATTAAAGACAAATCTCCAACTCCCCCCACCCCATGCTAGTGGAAGGACTTGCCTTAAGTGATGCCTCTTGATCCGATCATCTTCCCAGTCGTTTTCAGGAGTCTCTGATCCAGTCTCTACGTTGCACTTCCTGTCTTACGGAGT